GTGTACATATCTATCTATTTTGATATGAGTTACAGACCCAGGATTTTTCAGCTTCAAATTATGATAATAAGCCGGCAGTTGGGCAAACGATGCTTCTGGCGACCCCCTCAACAATTCCAAGGCAAAACATTTGGCTCTCTAAGCTTGAGAATATGAGATACTAATCTTGAACTGAGCATTCATGTCAGTCATAATTTCATGTCCCCGATATACTCTGCCATTCAAAAACATTAACTCAGCCAGAAAACCACCCAACACCTTTTTGTTTGCCTGTCTATGGTGAGGAAAAACTTGGGTTCTTGAACATATATGTTTATCAATAAAATTCCTAACTTGAAACATTTCACAATCTTTTATCCTCTTTGCAATCATACGCCAAATACAGTTTTTGTCAATCATACACCTTGTTTCGAAACGATCTTTGCTTGATTTGTTAACTTTTAGTTGATAGCCATCTTCCACACATTTCGTATACAAAGCTATCTTCAAGTCTTCCTTTGTATCAAAACAATCATCTTTCTTGATACGAATAACTTTTATGTAACAATCAACTTGTATCTTTACCAACTCTTCTTTCGGTATCTGAAGTAATTCTGGCATATTCCAGTTATACTCCCGTGGTATTTTCTTTTTTTTTCTTTTCTTTGGGGTCTTCTTCTTCAGGGTTATATGAATTACATAATGGATGTTCAACATGTTCATTCAGAGTCGTAACTTCCTCCTCATTATCATCAACAACATCTTCCTCGGCAGCGGCTGTTTCATCATCAAAATTCGGGTATTGACCAATATCAAAATCATTACACGCATGGTATGTTTCTTCTTCTGAACATCAAAATCCGAGTATTGACCAAGATCAATGTCCGGGAATTAACCAAGATCAAATTTCGAATACTGACTAGTACTCACAATTTTTTCTGTTGACTCATCAACATCTAACTGGTCAATACGAAAACCAGAATTTGGTGCTGAAAGTTGATTGGGATTTGGATTAGGGAAAGGTTGTGGGTTTTGAGATTGTGTTTGATATTGTGTTTGGTATTGGAAATGTGGTGAAACAAAATTTTCTTGGTGATGAAATTGTGGTGGAACCATTAAATTTTTAGGTTGATAACAACGTTGTACATTGTGAGCACCATAAACTGGGGTTGAAGAACTTAGTTGATTACTACCCGCTACTGACCCAACTGCACTACTTCTAGGTTCAACAACATAAAATGTAACACCATCTTCTTGCGAAACACTAATGTAAGCAATGAATCGTTCAACATCTTCATTGTCGGTTAACAAATAAACTTTACCCTTTCTCTGATAATATAACCTAAATCCACTTAGGGGCTCTAAATTTAATTTCTTTGCAACACGTAACATTAGAGTTTCATAAGTTAACTTTTTAATGACAGTTTTAATTGAAGATTCATGGGTAAAGATATATATTATAAAACACCATGAACAATCTCTCATGACCCTCCAAAACACAAATCTATCCAAACATGATAAACATTAGATGATTTCATTCTACAAATTGTAAATTAATTTACTAAACAAACGAGCTATAAACTAGATATCATCACTAACTTAGAGAAAAACATACCTTTATTAAGTTGATAGTTGATAGTTTGGGAGAGAAATCATTGAAAAATTATATAGAAATAAAATTATGTAAAAAAAATTAGAGATGGGGAAGGATGTCGTTGGATATAGGAACGGATGTCGCCAGAGAGAGTGATAGATGGAGATGGAATGAGTTGCGATTTAAGGATTTAGGTTATGAGTTGTTGCTGCTGCGTAGTTTATATACCCAAAACATTTGTGTTGCGAAAATAAAAGCTGTTGCGAAATTAAAATTTGTGTTGCGAATTCGAAAATCGAGTTGCGAAAACAAAATTTGTGTTGCGATTTAGAAAATCTTGTTGCGAAAAGGAAATTTGTGTTGCGAAAAAGAAATTCGCGTTGCGAATTCAGAAATCGAGTTGTGAATTGAAATTTCGTGTTGCGAATTTGGAAATCGCGTTGCGATTGCAGAAACTGAGTTGCGAAATTAGAAACTGTGTTGCGAAATTGGAGTTCGCGTTACGAATTTGTTGGTCATTTTCGAAAAATCTAAAAAAAATGGTTAAAATCGTATATTATAAGGTATTTTCGGTTACTGAAGTTATTTTCTCTCAAAATTAATAATTTAAATAAGTTGAAGAGAAAAAAAACGGGCGAGTCCGCGGAGAAACAGTCAATTCTAGGTGTGGACTTATTTATTTATTTTTATGATGAATTTGGGTTTAGGGGGGGAGTGAAGTTGGCATGGTCTAAAGTTCCATCCACCTCTTGACAATGAGAGAGAAGCAGTAGCTTATCGTCTGTTGTTGTCATTTCAGAGATTAGGTCCTCTCCCCATAAATTATTTTACTTTTTGCGATGGGAATTCCGTACTTTTCTGTCTTCATTTTACAACCAAAAATCGATTAAACCTTAATCTAATTTGATTTTGATTTAAAAACATTTGTGAAAGCCACTTATTGGTCTTTATATCAGCAACTGTTCTAAAAAAATGTATTTTCCAACCTCAATTTATTGTTATGCGACGGTTAATTTGTGGTTTCTTAAGTCGAATAAGTTGTTATTTCTTGGGTTTTGTGAAAAAGAGTCCCTGGATTAAGGTAAGATGGAATGGAATTTAAGATAAAAATTGACTTGATTTAAGAAGGATATTTAAAATATTTACTATTATATTTTTATAAGCATAAATATATATTTAATTGTCGCATTACACTAATGAATAAAAAAAATCGTATCAAAAGAAACATGATTAGCTTTAATCTTAAAATTTAAAATGTGGCAATTCCCTTTTTTTACACCCTCTGACTTCTTTAATTAAGATAAAAAATAGTGACTACACAATCATTGCACTTGTTTCTTGTCAGAGACTTTGTTGCCTCTTTTATTGTTATTAATTTGGTAAAAGGCACCGGCTTCATCTTCCTCGAATCGATGATAGTCGAGAGTTCGAAGAATATTCTAAACCTCAGAAATTACTGCCTTTCAATCTCATTTCCTGCGAGGTTCTGTGCTTGCTGCACCTATATTCCAACAACACCATCATGTTAGCTACTGGTCTATCTGTGGGAGCAAATGCTAAGAGCATCATCATGTTGGCAATGGCCTCAAGGGCCTTTTTCCTCGTTCAAACTTCTATTGATGGGACTTTGATACTCTAGTGGATTTCTGGTAATTTTGTACTCTCTTGAGATACAAACAAAATGGGGGCATGAACTTCTCCCGCTACTTTCCATTGGGAAATGGGGGATACTGTTTGCGGTCTCCGCTAAATTACTTTCCGACAACGGTTTATTTTCCTTCTGGCTTGGTTGTAACAGGTGCTTACCTGCTTTTGGAGCGTTTGTTTGTCCCAGAGAAAATGTAATAATGAAAAAGGAACTGATCCTTTGTGGCTTATGGAAACATCAGATATGGATTGGTTTGACCATCGGATCAAGATGAAAAGCGTCCCTTCACTTTCATTACTTATTCATCAATTTCGAAAACCAATCTCCCAGCGACTGGGCAAATTGTCTCCAAAAGTAACGCAGGCCTTTTCTGATTTTAAAATTAATCAACATCACTGTATATGGGAAAGTTGTACAGTTCGTCATTTTTAATTTACAACTAAAAAATATTATCGATTTTATTAATAAAATTGATAAAATTGATAAAAATTATTTAAAATATTATTATTTTTACTTAAAACATTAATTTTTTTTTTAATATTTTTGGTAAAATGTCTAATAATAACAAAACCGGTAGAATAATAAAATAGATAAAAAAGTATCAATTTTATTATTATTTAAATAATAAAATAGATAATAAAAAAATTACCTAAAACATTATTATTTTGACCTAAAACATAAATATATTTTAACATTTCCGGTAAAATGCCCAACTATAACAAAACCAGTAGAAATAATAATGTTTCTGATAATTTTTTACAGCTTTTGTTATTTAAATAATAACAAAATTGGTATCACCTTTTGTTAATCGTATATTAAAATTACCGCACGTGATCATTTTCCTTGTATATGGTCCAACTATCCCAGCGACACCCTAAGACTCAATCATCAGAGAGGCCTACCTGTTACGTTATAAAAGCCGAGTTTAAATATTATTGAACTCAATTTAATTTAAAAACTTTAAATTTAAATTAGATTCAATTTAAAAATTCATAACTTAAAAATTATCAAATTCAACTCAAATTTGGAAAAAAAAATTAAAGCTCGAGTCAACATGGAACTCGCGAGCTTAAAATTTTCAAGCTCCACTCAAACTTAAAAATTAAAGTTCATCTAGAACTCAAACTTTAAGTACATGAAAATATCACGTTATATTTTTTTTTAAAAATTAACATATAAATGTTAATATTATTAATAATTAATTTAAAAAATATAAAATTTTAATATATTATGTTTTTTGAATAACTCATAAACTTTTTGAGTTGAATATCAAGTAGCTCACTTCCACTAATTAAATATTCAAATCTATTTGAGGCTCGAAACAAATTTATTCAATTCAAATATTAACTAACTTTTAATTAAATCAATCTCAAATTGATTTGCATCCCTATCGCTGCTTTCCTGTTTGGACTGTGGTGAAGCGCTCAACTGGATTTAAGATTTGTTTACCATACACCTTTAGTAATAAAACCTTGCCAAATAAAACGTTTTGTACCACTCCAAATACATTTTTAATACCACAATTATTGAAATAAAAACATTCTTTAACAGTAATCATCAGAATAAAAGTTTCTCGATTATGTGATCAAATTGTAAACATTCTAAAAGTTCAATAACTATCTATGCAATTCAACGTTTTATTTATGATATTTTTATAACTCTAAAATCATTGAAATAATAGTATCGTTATAATGAAATAATTGTATCTTTTTAGGAAGAAAATTTTAAAAATGATATTACATATAAATTTTAAAAATTTGTCTTTAATCTGACCAGTATTTAAGAATTAAAATTTAAACTATATATTTTGTGTATTTGCCCCAAAGAGATCATTGACATTCAACTTCAGGAGGTCCCATCGGCAGTAAGCTTTCAGAAGTACAGACCATTAAGCAAACAATACCCATTGCATGCTTATACTTGGCTATAGAACCTTTAAAAAAAACTCAAAACGGGGACATCTATACAAAATGAGCAAGCTTTATTTAAAGCAATAAAAGGTGCTAAACTAGAGATGAAGATTATTCTTAAGTAAGGGTAGGAGAGAAATGCTGCCCTGAGTTCTTTGCCTCTCAGAAGCAGCCAAGTTCTTCCCACCTCCGTTTCCCTGAAGAAAGATTCAAGGAGATATGTTTGTTCATTGGAATGAATAATATTGGTTTATTTTCTTTACAAGCAACGATATTAAGCATCATATTCCATGTGATGTGCATTTAGATTAATTTCAAAACTTCAAAACAATAGATCACGAGGATTATCAACTAACCTCTGGTTTGTCAATCTCATCAGCATCATAGGTGCTGATTTCCCTGACTAGAATGGATGATTTAGGCAAAAGTCTCCTGTTTGTGCAATATATAGCGATAAAGGAGGAGGGGGGTCATGAGCAAATAATTTTGTAAAGCAAGGCAATTACCGTGATCCAAAGTCCACGTGACTTACCTTTTTGGTTTTTCCATCTTCGAAGAGCTGCGGGAGGTATTAGGTCTTACTCCACTCTCAGGGACACCCGTAAGGTCTTGATGTTGAGTTTGTTCAACATGCTTATGTGACACCGGCAGTGAATCCTAGAGAGGGCAAGAAATATTGTCAAAGGAAAAGAAAAGCTAATGGTCAATTTTGACATTAATGTAGAATGTGGAAATGACACTTACCTCATCGTTTGCACCAAGCTATTTACATGGCTGCACAGATGTACTACTTTCATTGCCTGAAAGTCTAACCGCAAAACGTGAAAGGCTTAAATTTGTCGTATAGGTGAAATAATATATTTAAGGAGAAGGAAATAACCCCCACCTCAAACAAATCAACAAAACATATATGACATGCCATTATCTAGTTTGAAAACACAGGAGAAATGGTAACAAAGGGGCCTATAAGATATAATATGTTTCATGATTGTGGTTTGTAATATAAAAGTCGAGTTTCTAAACCAGACCTGTTTCATGTGAATTACGATCAAGACCCTCAGCAACCACATTATTTGACTCACTTGAATCCTCGTGAATATTTTCAGTCCCAGGAAAGCTTTCAGTCCCAGGAAAGCTTTCAATCCCAGGAAAGCTTTCAGGTATCTAATTTGGAAACCAAACCATATTTCTGTCAGAACCATCCCAAAAATGCATCACACACACACACACATATATATACAACCATAATCCAAGAAATGGGTCATACAAGTGGTTGACGACCATGATTGTTGTCACTTGAATCAACATGCTTATGTAATACAGAATGCGGAACATACACAAACCTTGTCATTTTCACCAAGCTGTTGACATGGCTTCACAGATGCACTGTTTCCATTGCCTGAGAGTTTAACTACAAAACGTGAAAGGCTTAAATTTGTCATATAGGTGAAACAATAGACTGAAGGAGAAGGAAATATACCCCCCAAGGCCGAAAAAATCAACAAAATATAGATGATAGGCCATTATCTAGTTTGCAAACACAGGAGAAATGGTAACAAAGGCCTAAAAGATGTAAAATGTTTCATGATTGTGGTTTGTAATATAAATGTAGAGTTTCTAAACCAGACCTATTTCATGTGAATTAAGATCAAGATGCCCAGCAACCACATTATTTGACTTACTTGAATCCTCGTGAATATTCAGTCCCAGGAAAGCTTTCAGGTATCTAATTGGGAAACCAAACCATATTTCTGTCAAAACCATCCCAAAAATGCATCACATATATATAAATCTTACAACCCTGATCCAAGAAATGGGTCATACTCATACCTGAAGACCCTGATTGTTATCACTTAAATCAACATGCTTATGTGATACCAACAGATCCAGTGAGTCCTAGAGAGGGCAAGAAATGTTGTCAAAGGTAAAAAAAGGCTAATGGTAAATTTTGACATTAATACAGAATATAGAACAAACACTAACCGTATTGTTTTCACCAAGCTGTTGATAAGGCTACCTGCAAAATGTGAAAGGCTTATATATGTCATATTGGTGAAACAATAGATTGAAGCATAAGGAAATACCCCCCGCCCCACACCAAACATATCAGTAGAACATATATGATAGGTCGTAATCTAGTTTGTAAACACAGGAGAAATGGAAACATGAGGTCTATAAGATGTAATATGTTTCATGATTACAGTTTGTAATATATAAATTGAGTTTCTAAAGCAGATTAGTTTCATGTGAATTAGGATCAAGATGCTCAGCAACCATATTATTTGACTTACTTGAATCCTCGTGAATATTTTCAGTCCTGGGAAAGCTTTCAGGTATCTAATTTGGAAACCAAACCATATTTCTCAAAACCATCCCAAAAATGCATCGCATATATATAAATCTTACAACCCGATCAAGAATTGGGTCATACTCGTACCTAATGACCCTGATTGTTATCACTTCAATCAACATGCTTATGTGATACCAGCAGATCCAGTGAGTCCTAGAGAGGGCAAGAAATGTTGTCAAAGGTAAAAAATGGCTATTGGTCAATTTTGACATTAATACAGAATATAGAACAGACACTAACCTCATTGTTTTCACCAAACTGTTGACATGGCTGCACAGATGTACTACTTTCATTGCCTGAAAGTCTAACTGAAAAATGTGAAAGGTTTATATTTGTTATATAGGTGAAATAATAGATTGAAGGATAAGAAATTACCCTACACCAAACAAATCAGCAGAACATATATGATAGGTCATAATCTAGTTTGCAAACACAGAACAAATGGAAACAAGGGGCCTATAAGATGTAATATGTTTCTTGATTGCGGTTTGTAACATAAAAGTTGAGTTTCTAAACCAGGCCTATCTCATGTGAATTAGGATCAAGACCCTCAACAACCACATTATTTGACTCACTTGAATCCCCGTGAATATTTTCAATCCCAGGAAAGCTTTCAGGTATCTAATTTAGAAACCAAACAATATTTCTCAGAACCATCCCAAAAATGCATCGCATATACATAAATCTTACAACCCTGATCCAAGAAATAGGTCATACTCGTACCTGACGACCCTGATTGTTATCACTTGAATCAACATTCTTATGTGATACTAGCAGATCCAACGAGTCCTAGAGAGGGCAAGAAATGTTGTCAAAGGGGAAAAAAGGCTAATGGTCAATTTTGACATTAACACTGAATATAGAACATACATTGACCTCATTGTTTTCACCAAGTTATTGATATGACTTGACAGATGCACTACTTCCATTGCCTGAGAGTTTAACTAATGTCAGAGATTAGTTACCTAAGTTAAGAAGATTGAGTTGGATTTGTAAATATTTTTATCTAGTTAGTATCCTTAAATCTAAGGAATTCTTTTTATTACTATAATTAGTCTCTTACCTAGTTTAGAAGTTACCCAAGATAAGGCTTAGGCTTGTATATATAATTGTAAGTTTCTTACACGTTTAATAAGAATGAATTATAGTAAAATTCATGGCTTTTGTCATGGTATCAGAGCTAGTCGTTTTTGGGTCTTAATCTCCTCGTTGAGCGTCTTTTCATTATTCTTAAGAGAGTATGACACATGATCAACAAAATATAAGCGATACGGGTGATTTCAATAGCATATAAACTGCTCAAAGAGGCACAATGGGTGAGGGAAGTCACTCTAATTCGACAAGTGACTTACAAAACATACATGCCACTTATAGGTTAATGGAAAAAACTACCTTAAGTGGTCACAATTGGTTCGAACTTTCCTAAAAGGAAGAGGTAAACTTAGTCATCTCCTCGGAATGGGACTAAAGAAAGATCCCAGATTTGAGTCTTGAGATGAACAAGACTCATTGGTTATGTCTTGGTTGTGGAATTCAAAGGTATCTGAAATTAGTGACACTTTTATGTTTCTTGGAACAACCCAAGAGATATGGGAGGCTGTAGAACAAACCTATAACAAGAAATGGACCACTATCAATGCATTCAGATGAAATGCAATAAGGATGCAACAATCCTAAAAATGTTTGTAGAAAAAGATAGGATTTATGATTTTCTTGTTGGACTAAATGTAAAATTTGATGCAGTAAGGGTCCAAATTCTAGGAAAATAAGACATGCCCTTACTGAATGAAACTATTGCTATCATTCATGCAGAAGAAGGAAGAAGATGAGAGATGGTGGTTGAAAATAATGAAGTAGAAAACTCAACCTTGGTTATTAGGCATGTTCTTGAGGGACCAAATTATCTGGAGCAACATATTATTGAAGGTAAAGAAGGAACAAATATGGTTAACAAAGACTCCTTATGGTGTACATACTTCAAAAAACCTCGTCACACGAAAGAGAAATGATGGAGGTTGAATAGAAAGCCTCAAACTGCAAATAATTTACAGAGAAAGGATGTTCAACAGAAGGACACAACAGAGCTTATGGCTAAGAAGTCTGATGAACAATCTGTTGAATTCAACCGGGAAGAAGTAGAAAAATTGAAAAACCTACTGGAATCCTTAGAAAAACTATCCTCTGCAGGTACATGCAATTTAGTTTTCTCAGGTATATCTTCTTCCTCTTCTCAGAATTCTAATGCCTTGTAATCATCTACCCACATACCTACCCAAAACTCCTGAGTAATTGACTCAGGAGCTACTGACCACATGACTAGTTCTTCACTGAATTTCCTCACCTACATATCCTGCTCTAGCAACAAGAAAATCACAATTGCAGATAGTACTATGGTCACGGTTGCTGGCCAAAGAGATATTGCCATCAGTAAAAACCTATTGCTTAAAAAAGTTTTAAATATGCCAAAACTATTTACTAGCCTTATCTCTATTCCAAAGTTTATCAAAGATACTAACTACAATATTTTGTTTCATTCTACAAAATGTATTTTTCAGGAGCAAGAAACGAAAAGGGTGATTTTTGATTCTGTCATCTCTAATCTCTTGTCCCAATCGTCCCTCCTCTTTAATCTCTCTTGCTCCTGTTGTATTCCTTCCCATGGGTGACAGTCAAAACTTCATCCGAGACTGAAACCTCACAAATGATTCCAAATATCAATTAAGGAACCCCTTAAGGGGACCTTAATTCCTCTCTTATGATCACTAACCATCGACTAGATGGGAAAATTTTCTTGCAGCGGTCTCAATCGGTTATTATGGCGATTCATGGTCGTGGAAAACTAGGATATATCAATGGAGACATCCCACGATCAGCCACAATAGACCCAACTTATGGCACTTGGGAACTCAACAACTAAATTGTAATGGCTTGGTTAATTAATTCAATGGAATGTCATATTAGTCGCACCTACCTCTTCTTTAAAACTGCAAAAGATATGTGACATGCAATCAAAGAAAACTATTCGAATCTTAGAAATGCCTCCCAGGTATTTGAGATCAAACGGAAGTTGAAGGATATCAGACAAGGAACACTTGAAATAACTCACTATTACAATAATCTGAAAATTTTGTGGCAGGAACTAGACATGTACTATGAGGCAGACTAGGGAGAAGGCGTGGAACACACAAGTTTATTACTCACCTCAACAATGAACGTCTCTATGAGTTTCTAGCAAGACTGGATCGAGAGCTAGATGAGGTTCGTGGTTGAATTCTGGGTAGAACCCC